GTATTATTGTGATTGCTCTTATCGATTGCCATAAATGCTTTTGAATTCAAAAACTGTAACTTAGCATTCTTAAAAGAACATCTGAGGCTCTGTCTTCAGGCCATTCTTCACCTCAGCTTCTACTGCAGTTTGTTCAACACCAGCATGACTCCAGATTTCCTCCTCATCATAGCAATTAGGGGATATTTCAAAAGGATCAAATGACAGGTCGTTAAATTGGTCAGAAGAAGACGCTCCAGTGACGCAATTGAGGTTACATCTCCCTCTGCTGGCGACCCCACATTCCTGCACACTGTGTGTATACCCTCCTGCAGTCAAACATCTGGCATTTAGAACAAGCCGATGATTTAGACCGCAACCCAGGAATAAGCAGAGCCACTCCAGTCTATGGCTGCAGAGGAATCTGTCAGTCAGCAACATTTCAGAGTAAAGCCTCGTCTACCAAAAGCTGCATCCGTGCCTTCAGTAGCTGAGCTGATAGTAAACCAACTGCACGGCAAGTCTCCCACGAGATGAAGCAGGGGAAAGTTGTGAGAGTTTATAGGAAATCAAATGCATCGGTGTTACATAAAGGAACTTCACAGAGTAATATATTCCTTTTGAAAAATACAAAAAAAATAAATAAATAATCCAGTCCAAGCTACAAGTCTTACAATGTTCCAGACAGCTTTCCTCCTGAACTCTTGCCAAATATCTAGCTGGCACATCAAGCTGCTTGTAAGAGAATCTGGCTTTTCTTTCTCCGCTAATATTTGTGGTGTACTTTTTCTTTACTTGAAATTTTTTGCAATCCCTCCCTCTTAAGAACGTCAAACTTGGTTACTGTTTCCAGAAAACCTGAAATTCGACTTGTGCATACTCTTAAGGACACTTTCAGCAAAACAAAGCAAGTTTGGTTAAAACTAGCAGTAAAAGCCTTTTCATCCATACCTCACATTAGATTCTGTGCAGAACAAAACAAAAGATCAAGTATTAACTTTGCTTTAAATCTAGACAGATTTTAACAAACTGTGCCTGTGTTGACTTGCCATGCTAAAACGATACACAATTGCTAAACTGAATTCAAAACAGAAAACAGTAGACTTTGCATTAGCAAGAAACAGCAGCTACATCTGTAACACTCTTCCATAAACTGTACAAAAACTGCATATAAAAGTCCAGCTGTCCATGTAAGAACACAATTGTTCAGACTCACCTTAGCTGCATAGTCGCTGACTGTTTGGTCAGAGCATTTTTACTCCAAAAGCTACTTTGGTTGTTTCAAAGCTTCAGCAAACAGTGACTCATCTTGTGTTAATCAAACCCACATCAACAGCAAAGCAGAGCTTGATAGCTGACAACAACAGAAGAGACTTCAAGCGTACCGTGGAGAAGTCTGCTCCCTCCGCTGGGCCATTTTGTTCCTCCCCTGCATCACTTAAAGTGTCTTCAGACTTGATGACATCCACCTCTAGAGAAAGGCACACGACACAATGCAATCAGTGCAATGGCAAATCTTCCAAATATAGGAATCAATAACAAGTGTTTAGAGTGAATGGTTCTGAGACTTATCTTTCCTGAGCACAGATACACTGATGAGTCACAGACTTTGTACAATAGCAAAGTAGCAGAGTGTTTCTGGATGGTTTTATTCACTATTATCCTTCCCTGAAAAGGACAATTACCACTGAATCTGAGTTTATCAGAAGCCTAAAAGTCCAGTTGGGGTTTTTTTTTGTTTCTTTTATTCTATATAGCTGTGAGGGAGAATTTGGGGGCTTTATATCTTGGTATTATTAGTCAACAAGAGCTGATGATTGGAAGCTTAAAAAGTCTCATAAATATTCTGCAGAAGAGAAAAATAAATAAAAATGACATCTTCTTTTGAAGCACTCGCTAGTAGCAGATTAGATTTTCACTCTTCATACCCAAACTGGGAAACAACAGAAATGTTGTCTCTGACAAGCTCACCAAGATATTACCTGATGCTGTGACACTGTCATGCTGTAAATATATCCTCTAATTCATAATGACAACGCACTCCCTGTGTGACGCACATCACAACCTTGCCCTTGACCTCTCTTTATTGGACTCGGTTCCGGCACAATTATTTCAGATGAGCAAAAACTGCCAACGGAGGACTGCTGAAGGTTCACTCAGAGTCTCCCTTCCTGCAACACGCTCACATCAGCTGGCTTGTGTATGTTTGTTTTACAGATTCCAGACTTGTAGCTGTGTATCTGAGGCCGAGTCACGTGCACTTGTAATGTGACTGTGCATGCTGACTTAGACTGTAGCCAGACCGTGCTTTTGTGAGTGTAAGAGAGACTAACAGAGAACATATGAATATAAAGGGTGTTGTTGTCAGACTAATCG